CCAAACCTGGAGCTGGCAACCATATTCAGGACTGGGCCCAATGAGTTCCTCAGAGAGGCGTAGAAAGGGTTTTGTTCCTTTGTCTATTTACTGGCAGAACCAAGCTTGGTTGCCTACCAACAGCCACTGAGAGAGAAGTTAGAATGCTTTGGCCAGTGGCCTCTATGGCATTCTATTCAGCTGAGGCCTCCCCTCTACCCTCCCCAAACTCTGGCTTCCCTAAACTGGCTTCCTTACCTGGAGCTGGCAACCCTATGAGTTCCTCACAATAGCCACTGAGGGAAACCTTTGTCCCAGACAGGAGCTAAGCAAAAGAACTGTGTTCATTGGGAGGCAGAGTACTTCTGACACAGAGCACAGTGGCTGAAAGAGGAGTGGGTGGGGAAGAGGAGCACACCCAGCCAATGGCATGCCAGTAGTCTTGACTGGCAGCTGACGGGCCAATGGCTGAGGGAGCGCATGCAATCTCGCCACCCCATAGGACAGAAGCCACCACCATTCAGCAATTATATATAAGAGACATTACTTTGAGGATAATTCATTGAAAGGCACAGTATACATCTTTTAAATAACATAAATGAGCGCATCACCTATTAGATTCCTACCTGAATCAGGAGGGTAAACCGGTGCTTATCCTCAGGGGGACTACCCCTCGAGCCTGGGTATTCAAAGTCCAGGTCAATTCCATCAAAGCCATGTTTACGGAGGTATGTAGTCACTGAATCAATGAAGATCTTGCGATTAGCTTCTGTAGAGACCATGATAGTGAACCTGTGGAAAGCCCCACCTTTAAATATGATTTTTCCTGTCAGTACCTATGACAGCCTTTAGGACACAATCCATGGAAAAGGTCTTTTTAATCTTACTTATTTCAGTGAGTGAACAATCTATGCACACTTACCTGGGAATAGCCACCATTGAACACAGTGGGACTTATATCTGAGTAAACATGCATTGGATTGCTTTGTAAAACATGTGGGGGGGGTTAATAAATTGGGACTTAAAATGCTTCATTGTCATTGAGTCATGTCCTGAGACTTCCTATTTCTTAAATATTATCATGTTTCATGAAATCAAGTAAGTGAGGCCAGTTGTTACCAACCCTACCCTCCTTCCACTTCACTGTGTATCCTATTATTACTGCTTACTCTGCTACTGTATCTTCCATCATCAGCCACAAAACACTTTGAATCAAAAATCCAATGAGCTTGGGGAGGGGTTATGGCTCTAGATATTCAAATGTTATACTCATATAGATATTCTGACTGTATAATTAAACATATATTTAATAGAAGGTAGAGATTCTGCTAATACTGTGCATTCCATTTATTAACCTTATCATATCTGCCTTTTTCCTTTTGCCATCTTAATAGCATTACTTCACAATAGTACCTGCAGTCTCATATCTGTCTTGTTTCTGTTCACTCACACTCACATTGTTTTCCTTATAAAATTGCCACCCTTCTCTTCAAGGACTTAGATTATGGGACTTTTCTCCTTGATGTGAACAGTCATTAAATGCTGTCATCAGAACATGATAAAAACCTTCTTTTCATGCTATCACAGCTGTGTGGTGATTCTGGGTCTCGCAAGACACCAAATGTATTTCACTAAATATAAAGTGTTCTTTTTTCTCTGTAGAATACAGATTCTGACAAAGGTTGCTTCCTTGCTTTTAAGCATTAGTTCCTGCAAAATCTTCCATGCAGATTAGCTTGGTTTAATGCAGATTAGTGGAAGATGGTATCTGGATGTTTTTCATAAACTACCAGCGCCCAGGCCAGTGTTGTTTCATTAGATGCTAACAAAAGACTTGGACCATCTTCAGTGGCTCCCTCAAGCTATCCCTTCATAATGAGATGGGTGGGTGATGTATCTCATCTCCCATTTGATGCAGCCACTATTGTTGAGCTTTCAAAAATTTTGAAAATTAACCCAATAATGTTAAACAGTTGCCATAAATTAAATGGTAAAACTAAAAAATTGCTCATGGAATAAGAACTGTTCCCCAGTTCCTTTTCTCTGAAATACTGTGCTCAATATCCCACTACATTTTTCTTTAATTATCTGAACAGAAGTATCTTCTTCTCCACTTACTCTTAGACCATTTCTGCAGTAGTGAAATTCCACACATTATGACTGATTTCACATATGCCTTTGTCCCGCACTCACTCTTCCATTCCCTCCGCTTGTTTTGGTCAATTTCACACCATTTGACCCACAGCCAACTTTTGACCTGCATCTTCCCCCGATTTGCCCCGGGTCATCTCGATCCTTGATTTCTCAGAAGGTTCCTGTTGCCTTGTGGAGAATCCAAAATGCACCCTCCCCCTTTTTCCACACCCACTTGCCCAACCCACTCATCTGCTGCTCCTCACCTTTCTTTAAAAAATAGTAACGTTATAACGCAATGATGAGGCAGCAAGATACGGACCCTTGCTATTTTCAGGCATATCAGCCCACATTGTTCCAAAACTTAATTTTTCTATAAAACAGAGAGGAAGAGTCGTAACAAAATAATGAGGCAGTGAAATATGAGCCCCCACAAGTTTTTTAGGCAGATCTGCCCACATTGATTTCTACACTGGTTTTAAAAATTCCTTTACTTTCAGAAACACCTCCACCAAGCACAGAATATGTTGATCCGACCCATGGGAGTAGCGGGCTGGAGGGGAAGGAGGGAAGAGGGATGGTTTCAACTGAGGTTTAAATTTTTCCCCATTTCCCATCTATATACTAATACTGAAGTCACCCCCTGGTGTGCGGATACCTAAATCCGCGCACCGGGGGGCACCTGGGGGGGAGGGAGAGATTTGTGCACATGTGGGGCGGTCCCCAGGTGTGCACAAAAATCTGAAAACTTTAAAAAAATATCGGGGGATACTTAAATCCCCCCGAAACTGACAGAGCGTCCCCTGCGCATGCGCTGGGAACGCTCTGCAGCCAGCCTCGGAGCCGCCGCCTCGGAGCCGAGCGGGGGGGCCACGAGACCTGGCCGGCTACAAGCCGCCGGGCCTC